GATAATTTTTCTCTCACGGTTAACCGCAGTTCTTTTGTATAGTTTCATGTTCTTTTATGTCTGCGTATCAGGCATAAACTTCCTCTGAGCAGCGGTTGTTTGTAGTCGGATGGGGATATACTGTTCGATAACAAAGCAAAACGGACAACGGTTCTCTCTGACCAGCTTTTGAAGCATTCATGACTTATTGAATGTTCCAACTGTAATAAAAATTAGGTGCGTTGGATATGCCAGAACGCCCGTACAGGCACACCCGCGTGTTCGAACGGCCCACGTTGGATGTACTGGTTGGCAGGCATTTTGAATATTCTTGCTAGTACCATGGCTAACGACCGATTAGAATGAGAGGGGATCAATCACAAAACTATGTTAAACTCCGTGAGTTGGTTGTTCGCGCTTCAATACCTTGTTTTCAGAAATATTTTTCGGAAGAAAATGTTTGACCAGTTTTCAGTGTATCCAGCGGAATTAGTGTTCGAATTCAGAAGTGCCACAGCATCAAATACATTGTGTTCTGGGTTCTCCATTCAAATGAAATCTGCTGTGTTAGTGACAAAAAACTGCAGCTAATTTAAGCCTTCACTAGATAGTTAGATCCCACCTTAAAATCTTCACTGAATCTGTGTCATATCGTTCAGGAAATACCCAGATTATCGGCAATTCCAATGAACTGCATACTTCAGATGGCTTATCGGCAAATGAGATCTACTGAAAATGAATGACAGATAAAATATTCTTTACCGCCCACATAGGTGAACAATTGTGGAATCACTTAAATGATATTTCAAAGTGAAATCCATGTTTTTCATGCATTGAATATTTTGTCAGAACTTTGAACACCAATAATAAATATTTGTTGCATGACTGAATTGATAAATTCCAATCAACGGGGTTTGGCGAATAGCTTCTGATTAGCGAACTGCACTCACTTTTGCATTAATTTGGCCTGGACGGGGAATTCTTCAGCAGACTCTCTTATATGATGTTCTTAAGCAACTGCATATGCTGTACCAGACTGCCCCGTCTCTCAGTCAGTAAGACACTTGAGATATCGCCAAACAACGTAAACGAGGGATTCAGGTGGGTCCAAGATGAGTTTCTCATCAAAACTCAACGGGTATTTAAATAAGTGCATTTCGATATTTTCATGCACTTTGGACTCAATCAGCATATAAGTTTGGGAGAAACTCGGAGAATGCTCTCACCTGATGAGCCGCAAGAAGGGTGACATCGGTAATGGGCTCTTGAAGAGCTTTCAGCAAGTTTATGAGTGATGCATTACGTCCGTATAATAGTCTGTGGTGCTTTTCGCCAGCAATTTGCTTAATTCTTCCAAATGACTCTAAGTGAAACTCCCTCAAAATCCTCATCCTAAAATACATGAAATTTCTGGATTTCCACCGAGCTCGTGTAAAAATTCCCATGAGGATCGGAAATTAGCACGAGAAGGATAAACTCTTCGCGAAAGAGCACTGCGTTGTTAATTAGTTTTCGCCTGATATCACATAATTTTCGTCCTCACCAATGGAATGTAAATTAATCATTCCGAGTTGCCAACACACTCATGCGGTTGAGGTTAGGTAAATATCTTTGGAAACACCACGAGAGACCTTAATTACGCCTTGAATGAATCCAGTTTACTTTAAGACAAGATCTCTCCGAAATCTCGCCGGGCTAGTTACTGTGACCGTCCATCAGTTGAGTTAAAATGCAACATCCGTATTCGCGTGTGTGCGCGTGTGTGCACTTGCGTACGGGATCACGTGTGCGCCCGCACAGGAAAGAAACAGTATCGATAGTTCCAACTTTGAGACCCCTAACTAGGCGTTCTATCAGTGGGGTAAAACTCGTGTGCTAAACTGTGCACTCTCATGTGTTTTGAGGACTTGTTTATAATAGTCCGGAAAATCGACAGTATTAGCCACCGTTACATCTAAATTGGCCGGCAGTCGTGTACTTGTAGGTTTGTGATAAATGACACCTAAAATCTGCTGTCACATCGGAAAAAGCGATGTACCTTTAAAATAACAATTAAATTAACAGTGTTTAGCTTGTTTGGTTCAGGTCGTCTCATAATATTTACGATTGACTGTGATATGGTAAAATCTAAGAAGTAACCACCGGTACAGTTAACCACAAGAAGGGCTATCTATAATCAATTTAATTTCGGCCCTAGTTTGGTAGGCTTTATGCAAAAAACATGAGACAAATAAAGGATTCAACGGCATCTGCCGCAAGTCTTGTTCTGAAGGAAGGTTTAGGTTTGTGAAATTCAGAAATAATGCGGTCGGTGCTACTAACAACGGTGAAAGCAAAATTTTCCCTGAGTTGTCTGCCTGAAAATCTTTTTTGTAGCAAAGATATTTGCTCAGTTATTCGCAATGTCTATGGGATATTTTTCACCTTTTCTTCGTGTGCCCTAGATTGGGGATGTTTCAGAACTGAGGAAATTTCATCTTTTCCCGATGAGTGTTACGCGCCAAGGTTTTTCATTGAACTTGTGTAAGCCAAGTGCGGTTATGTCAAGCTTGTAAAAATATTTAACTTAGTAAATGGAAATGTGCAACTGATTGCAGAGATAACAAAGATAACGGAAAGACCAAAAAAGTGCATGCCACTGGAGCTTAGCCCAAGAATCTCGCATATTATTTGGTATACTAGCCGTTGACTGCTGCTTTTTGTCCCTAATTGAGAAGGCATCGTCTGTTGGCAGACGTCCTCTCAATGTAATTTTTGTGCATAAAACGATTGGTTAACATACTGGTTAATGTATTCGGATATGTTAAGTAAGATTCGGGCGGTCTTGAACTGCATCATGATTCTTTGACGGAAACACGACGTAGGTCTCCCGTAATGCTTCACGTATGGATGCATCACTGGTTGAATCCTGTCGAACCTTTGATCCATTCTCCTACTATTTTGCACACTTCGAAACGTTCATATCCGTTCATTTATCATTATCAAACTCGGAAGTGAATGAAAACTAGATATTTTATTATCTGCTTAATTTTCAGGACTCCGTGTGGATAGAGGTGTCAATCACGTAGTCACATTTTATGTATGACTGTTTGGGTCGTTTTAAGCGAGGTAATACAAGCGGTATATGAGCAACAATTGACGTCAACCTATAGCTCAAAGTGCAGTAAAAGCGTGCATTTTCAAAGCTAACTTACAGGGCAACAATGTTTTTCACTTTAGGTTGTCTCTGCTGGGGAGGTGTGGTATACAATTCTATGAGAAAATTCTGGAGTTTACGTCAAAACACTAAAATTATTTAATAATAATTTAAACGCACCTCAACTTGTGAATATAACCGGTGAGGTAGATAAACTACACATTTCAACAGCATGGTATACTAAAGCATCTAGTACAAACACTATTGGACTAAAAAAGTGAAAATTTCAACGTTGGTGGAGTTTTGCCTATTCTGCTTGCTGGATAAAGCAAATTGGTAAACCGAGGTTGCTATCATCAAGCTGGATGCGGCATGGCAATCCAGTAGTTTTACTGGTTTAACTCATACAAATTCAGCACCTAGCGAGCTATTAGGATGCTCTAGCCTTATTTTGGTCAAAACTTGTAAGTGTAAGACGTTGAAGATCACTACATGAAAGAATTAACTACGTGTTCCAAAAGACATGGGTACCTGGAGTGTAGCCACAAGTGCGTTTATTACTCAAATATTATTTAATGGCGTGCGTCACCAACACTTGTGGCAGGTACCTTACCATGAGCGTTTAGTAAGTTAATATTTAAGCGATTGTTTAGCGAAGCGTTTTAAAAAGGGCAATATCGCCAATGCTGTTTCAGAGAACTTTTAGCTTTTCATCAGTATTTAGAAGCGGAATGCAAAAATGCAAATGCAATGATCACACAGGCCAGTAGGGCAAGCATTAATCATTTAACGAGAGTAAGCTTTGTTTTTGAGCGGTTCTATCAAGTTGATAAGTCGACCTCTTCTGCCCACACTTAGCCAGTCATAGTGTCCTAATAGCAATTGTTTCAGCCGAAGTTTACTGCCAGTTTTAATCACTCACCTAAGTTTCAATAGATGGTAGCGAATGACTGGCTAGAGTTGACCCACTGGAACCCAATTACTGTGTCCGGTGAAAAGATTTTCTGGTCACACCCTTTTCTAATTGACAACTGTCTCTTTAGCAATCCAGGTGTGTCTGAAAAATAAAATGTATCTGGAATAAAAATCCTCCTAAAAATCTAGGAGTGCGAAACATTGTCAATATCTTTTGTTTATTAAGGTGAGAGAAAAACTTCTGTCTATAAAAAACTATCACAAAAAGAAATAATCTTCCGGTAGCTACCATTTTTAAATGTTAGATTTTTTCTAAAGGATGAAGTTGTTACCACTCTTGCGGGACCTACTCTATGGAAGCAGTGATGCAGTCAATGGAAGCTACAAAGTACATCGATTTTCACTTATTCAAGCACGATCAAGGTGGAAAAAGGAAGTGACGGCTTTCAACTCAACATGCAGCTCACAATAGCTGTTTACCCCACGTTTCTGTGAAAACTGCTTATCATTTTATTGGTTGTTGATCAGATGGCTGTTGATCTGTTCGCCGAGCTTGGCAATTGGCTTGCAAACGTTTCGTCACCATACGAGGAGACATCATCAATGCGCAGTTGGGTGGGTATTTCTCCCTTGCCTGCGTGTGTTTATATAGCCGTCAAAGGCCATCTGTTATCTTCTGACGTGACCGGCTACTGTGTTCCTTTGTGTTGATTGGTTATCCCAACGGCTTCTAATTTTAGTAGTTTGTTCTCTCTGGCCTTGATTCGCATTGCGTTGTGGTCTGCCGTTCTCGAGTTTGATTGGTTGCTTGTACCGCCCTATTTCCTCCACCGTGGCGGTTAATGTCCCTGCGTCCGCCGGTTGATTTGGTGCTTTGATTGGGCGCCTCCTCCAATCCAATTGATGTGTACGTTTGAATGACGCTTTCTTGCTTCTTGTATGAGTTCCTCGTACGGTCGCTTTTGCGGCTCTAAGTTCTGTGGTTTTGGCGTTCTCTCGCTCTTAATGGCTGGTAAATGGGATCAATTTCGATGTGTTTGTTGATGTCTTCTTCGGTGGAGTACCACGCCTCCATAAATTCGCGTTCTCGTTTCGTTCTTGCTTGAGCGAGTATGCGAACGCCGTTCCAGTCGAACTCGTGACCTTCTTGGTCTTTCTGTGCGGAGATGAGGGAGAATTGATCGTGTCTTTTAGTGGCGAGTTTGTGTTCGTGTATTCTGGTGGAGAGCTTCCTTCATGTTTGTCCTACGTACCGTTTGTCGCAGTCCTTGCATTGGATCCTGTATATGACATTATTCTTCGCCATTGGATCTAACTTCCCCTTTGGTCTTGATAGTGTCCTCCGCAGAGTATTCGCAGGCTTGTAGGCGACCATTGTATTGTGCTGTCGTAGGAGCCTTGCCGTCATTTCAGCGGTGTTCTTGATGTACGGAAGTGTGACACGTTTGCTTGCAGTTTGTCCTGTTGCATTGATAATATTTGGCTTTCTGAGTGTTCTCCAGATGAAATTCCTCGGGTATCCATTTTTCTGAAACAATTTATATAGGCGCTTTTCTTCTTTGATCTTGGATTCTGTTGTACTGCAGTGTGTCTCGATCCGCTTGAAAAGTGTCCGAATGCAGCTTCGTTTGTGGCAATTTGGATGGTTGCTGTGGTAGCTGAGGACTTGGTCCGTATGTGTCGCCTTTCTAAAGACCTCACCACGCCTCCATAAATTCGCGTTCTCGTTTCGTTCTTGCTTGAGCGAGTATGCGAACGCCGTTCCAGTCGAACTCGTGACCTTCTTGGTCTTTCTGTGCGGAGATGAGGGAGAATTGATCGTGTCTTTTAGTGGCGAGTTTGTGTTCGTGTATTCTGGTGGAGAGCTTCCTTCCTGTTTGTCCTACGTACCGTTTGTCGCAGTCCTTGCATTGGATCCTGTATATGACATTATTCTTCGCCATTGGATGTAACTTCCCCTTTGGTCTTGATAGTGTCCTCCGCAGAGTATTCGCAGGCTTGTAGGCGACCATTGTATTGTGCTGTCGTAGGAGCCTTGCCGTCATTTCAGCGGTGTTCTTGATGTACGGAAGTGTGACACGTTTGCTTGCAGTTTGTCCTGTTGCATTGATAATATTTGGCTTTCTGAGTGTTCTCCAGATGAAATTCCTCGGGTATCCATTTTTCTGAAACAATTTATATAGGCGCTTTTCTTCTTTGATCTTGGATTCTGTTGTACTGCAGTGTGTCTCGATCCGCTTGAAAAGTGTCCGAATGCAGCTTCGTTTGTGGCAATTTGGATGGTTGCTGTGGTAGCTGAGGACTTGGTCCGTATGTGTCGCCTTTCTAAAGACCTCAGTTTGTAGTTGTCCGTTCGGCAATCTAGCGATGAGGATGTCCAGGAACGCCAGTTTTCCGTTGTTTTCTTCCCCGGTTGTGAATTTGATGTCGTCGAAAGCGTTGTTTAACAGTTGGCTCACTCGTTGCAGTTCGCTCCTTTTGATGATCACAAATGTGTCGTCCACGTCGACGAACAGATCAACAGCCATCTGATCAACAACCACCCACCCCACCCGAGCCACCAATATTCCACCGCATTGCTTATCATTTTCCCGAATGATCAGCTTGTGGTTATGAGCAAAACAGGAAAGGCAAAATCCTGATCAACAACCAATAAACCCACCCGAGCCACCAATATTCCACCGCATTGCTTATCATTTTCCCGAATGATCAGCTTGTGGTTATGAGCAAAACAGGAATTCTAAGGCAAAATCTTGAAGATGCAGTTCTCGTAAACATTTGTTGCCTGATCATGTGCACTGAAAAATTAAAAGAAACCTGAACAATCAGTGGGCTTTTTCGTCATATGTTTCAATAGAAAAACCTACAGTGGCAACAATATCAAAATATTTTGGCTCTCGATGGTCTCTTCTAGCCAGTCTAAGGTATTAAATTTGAAAAATAATTAGCAAAACATTAAGCATTGTTTTCGGTCACCCGAAAGATAAACTTCTTGAAATTTCGACTAGAAAATAAATTTGCGAATTAATTCGAACGGGCTCTTCTTGTGCTTCAACTCAGTAGGATCCTGGGGACAAATATGGGAAGGTCTGCGAGACGTTTTTTGATAAAAATTGACATTCCTCTTTATATATACAAAGGTGTTCCATATATCTGTTCAGCTTGACTGCAGGTAGCCGACAGCTACATCTATAACTCTAACCAAATACATGTTCAGAAAGATTTATGGTCATAAACATCGTCCTCGGTCGAATTTGAAATAGGCAACAAGACAGAGAGTCATGCAGTTCTACTCAAACGAAACAAGCGCTTGCTAGGTTGCGGTCATCCGTATACCATCACTGTCAGATCAGCATGTTCTCCTTGTATATATTTAGAGTATGACGCAACACAGCGAAACCATGTGTGACTGCGCTAATCAGATTGCACACATGATTAACCGAATTCGGTCAAGTATAAGACCCTGTGTGTTGAAAAAATTATTACCACATTGAACGTGAACGGGACCTTTGTAGATGCGTTGCGGAGAGGGGCAAACAGGTCTGTAATCGTGGAACAGCTTGTAGACTGTTATTTTACGATGTCGTTGAGTATTATCTTATCCGCTTGAATTTCCCAGCTGCACTTACACTCCAGTAACGGGACGTCAGTCAGACACAGGCTCAGTTTTCTGGTAGAATTGCTTGGTTTTAACACTCGTCAGTTTAGTTGGCATCATCATCGCTTCTCGGAACTAAGGTGGTTGAGAACTTTTTTCTCAAAATATCAGGCACAACCTGTTGTCTTACTGGGCACTTTTAGTTGAGGGAAATCAGTGCGTTTCATTCAGTTAACGTTCTTTTACATCACTGTTGTCGATCATAAGGTTAGCACACATAACAGTGAACACGAAAACGTTATGGAAGAATGGTTAATTGATACAAAGTTAAATCAAGCTTGCTGTTCGTTCATATTACTAATATTTATAGCTGCCTTGCTAAGAGTAATCGCTGCTTACATAAATTCGGTTTATAAAATTCGAATAAGCAGCACATCTATGTCGGTACATCTATGTTTTCATAAACTGTTGTTTCTGTGCGAACTGGCAAAATTTATTGGAAACTTAGTGGAATCCTCCAATATGACTTGAAGATTTCAGAGTACAATCTAAAATATTTTCCATTATGCATTTGCGGCTCGCTTGCTGTTTGCAATCCATACAAAAGTATTGTCCCCTCGGATATTGTTCCCTTTTTAAAAGGGTTGCAACACCCTGTTTATGCTGCTGGAAATAGTGAAAGTCTCTAATGTAGTCTACTTTCATGATATAATCCGCTTTCTCAGTCCTCTTTTAACTCACAGGAAATTTAATTAAAGCCCTGTAAATGGGGATTGAACGATGTCAGGATTATTACGTAACGCGCCAAATAGGTTGGTCCATACAGAGCAACAACTGGTGACATTTTTATGGAGCTTAATTCACAGCACGGGTGGTTTAGCCAATCTTGAACAATTAACTCAAAGAAAAGTGTTGCCTAGGTGTAATCAGGTCCTTGGTGCGCACTTGCATATTACGATCTGTGATATTAAATGGGTCGAATGTGTACATTACACCTGCTCATTTTGCTCTATTCATCTGGATTTACATCATAGCGAAGCAACAAGCTTCAGTGTCTTGATGTTAACCGTGGCTAACGTTATCGCCGATTGTGAAATTGAACTGCACTGATCACACAAGCGATCATAAAAAGTTAGTCGGTCTACAAGAAAAAAACAGTAGCTCCCAGGGCTAAAATGAACCGATGATCCTTGAGCCATCAGACTTGAATTCTGCAATCTCCGTTTAGCTGTTGAAGTATTCAGCTTCGGATACTTTGGGACAGTTTGTCACGCCAAAGTACATGCCAGAGGCCACAAACTATATAATATGCTAGGCTGGGAGCACAAATACACCAAACCATACCAGCTTTAATTACGTCGGCATCCAAGGTTAGGCAACTATTAGGTTAAGGTTAGCGATCAGCCAAAAATATTTGAAAGCCTGGGAGAGGTATCGTTTCAGTGCATATTTAGTCAAAGAGAGCTTTTATGCTCCTTGAACTCAGTTGATCTCAACATCGGAGCTATTTCGACACAACGAGCTCCCGAACTCAGTAAATTATTTTGCTTCAAGAGAAACGCTGCTGGTGCTGCTTTTTGGTCAAGAAGTGAACAAATGAATTTGAGTGCAATGATAACATCCTCCGAATTGGCCGTTCGATTTTGTGAATTGAAATAGATATCTTCCATTACAAGATAGCAGAGGCTATCACAGAAACGCAAACGGAAAATTCACTGATGAGTAGCAGATCAAAGCTCTGCATGAACGTGTAGACCAAATTCATTCGCTCCGCATTGGTTGACGACCTATGTACATTTGTTCTGGTTCATCAATCAATGGGGCCAACAGATCGCGAGACTCACTCAACCAAATTCAAATATTCGCCTTGTGTTGCGGCATTATCAGAGTATTACGCCGAGGAAAACGTATGGAAGAAAAGTTGTTATATAGACGCCATTTTTTCGTTAAGACTTATTCAGCAACAGAGTCATTTAGCACAGAACGAACCCGGTTGTTAGTTGGCGAATAACGGGCTCATCGTTATCGCGTATAGTGCTTGCTAAAGATTTTAATAAATTGCTGTCTGTGTCCTCGTATACCAACTCTGTTGATATGACGAGGTTATTGTTGCATCCTCCTTTCCAAGGTCGCCCATGATTTTGTTCACCATATTATGTTGATTCACTCTAAAAGTGTTTCCATTATTCCTACTTAGTGAGTTCGTATTCATTCCTGTCCGTATTGTAGGAGATAAAACTGGTGGAAGGTCGTACCACCGTCCGTGCTAATCATCCCCGTCCATCTGCAGTAAACTTCAATCACTCTCATGTGTCTGATGTGATAGGATTTTATGTTGGTGCACCCCAGCAATTATCTGGTAATCTATTATTCCTTGCCCCGTACCAACAGCAAAGGCATGCGTATAACCTAATGATGAACAACTATTTCCAAGTGATATATGTAACAGCTGCATCGTTTCTCTGTGTGGTCGTGCACAGAAAAGATTAGTTTGTTACTGGCTGCGCTACACAAGCTTCATCACTTAGAAAACTGTTTCAGGTAATAATTTTTGAATGTACAGATTCAGGAACAAGAAAAAGCTCCTATATCACAGCGCTTGTATGGCACCTTAATTCGTTTATCACAGAAAGGCATCCTCCCAAAAAGCCGTGGGTGAAATTATTGTTCAGAGATTATCAGAGAGGGTTTGAATGGAACAGTTCGTTCTATAGAAATGGTGACCATCAATTTCAGAGAGGATACAGGTTGGCTATGAAATTATTTACCTTTGAAACCCGCAACAAATTGTTTGGCTTACATGCGCGCGTTTGAAACAAAAGAGTTACCAGATCACCCCAGTCTATTCATTTTACAGCAAACAGTTGTTTGTTCACCGCATAAAAATGACGGATATGCGTGAAATATTAGAAATTAACAAATATCCTGTTAATATAAAGCTCGTACAAATGACAATGAGTGTTTGTCACGACAATAGGCATTTGACATAACTATTGAGTGCTTTGGAAGTTGTCATAATGAGTACATGCTGTTAAACACAAATTAGCTTTCATTAACTATAATCATCTGTAACGTGCAAATGGCCAAAAGCAGCTTAAAGGCCACCAGTTAATGCTGGTAGATAAGGCGTGGTAGATAGGTTGGGAGTTATGTCTAAACGCATTTACCCCAGAATCGTTTAGGTCAATAGATTTGGGCTTGATGAACAGCAGCAAAAATCCCAAGGATTGAGTCCAACGTATTATTGTTAAACAGGTTGTGGCCAATATCACTGAGAGGACCCTAAAAGTAAGTTAGTTCCTGTAAAATTAGCTGTGACTTGGTCGGGGAGAAGCCAACACCACTTGGTATTTCTTGTCTCACCATGCGTATTAACGTGAAATGTTCAAACTACTACATGGTCGATGCTAAGATTTTTACGGTGTCTATGCATTCTATAAAATAAACCTGTGGTTTCCTCATTGACCTGAGTACTTTTTTCAGAGTAAGCCAGCTAATTAGGCGCTGTTTTGCACCCTTTGTTTGTTATGTTGCGACCGATTAAGGCATTTTTCTGGTACAATGTTTTATTTGATTCTTTCTTAAGGGGTGGCACTTATAAATCAAGGCCTAGAATTCTCACGACAGAAGTAGAAAATGCGGATCACGATATGAACATGAAGGGACGGACTAAGTTAGTACATCATGTTGCCCGATTAAGTGTGGATTCCATTCTCCTAAAGCACCGCAATGAACAGTGTAATTCCGACAGAGATGTCATCTACCTGATTGTGATAAGGTTGCCGAATGGGCCATGTAAACTGACTGGCAGTTGCGTACTGATGGATGTTTCAAGTTTGGGCTACAAATGAAGGTAGAATATAAAACGTTAGCCATTGCAGCTGCGCACTTCCCTGGAAAATTGCTTAAGAAAGACAGTATTATGGAAGAACTATCCGCAGAAAGGTTGTTCTTCCACTTGAAGGTTTGTATACGAAATTTCCGTGGAAATAATTCACGGTCAATCGCTTTCTACCATGTTTTCCTTCCACCCGAGTAAT